TTTCACTAAAATAAATTCGCTAAATAGAAACATTTATATAATTTTTCTTCCTCTTAATTATTTTAATATTATTTGTATTACTAAAAGCACCTTAAATCGCATGCATGACACAAAATATGAACATCCGTAATCCTATATTCTGACATAACGCTTGTAGCAACGTCGTAAATAATGGTGTTAAATGCAAAATCATCGCCATTTCTCAATGACATAAATGTTACAAACTGCTCACGTGTCCCGTATGGGACTGCGAAGGTAAATGCCTAAGCTATCATTTTTCACGTCCTAATCCGAAGACAGGGACTCGTCAAAGGGAGCGCTTATCGCCTATCCCAATTTATTTTCCCGGGGATTTCGGTGTGATATTGTCATAGGCACGTCACTCTGTTGTAAGAAAAATCCAATATACTTTCCCATATTCCGTAATAAAAGATACCGATCTTTATATTAGCTTGAGGATAGTTTCAAATGATAAAATAATTTATTTGACCGCATGATACAATCAAGTGAAAAATAAAATAAAATTGTTACTAGTTGTTAATTTACATCGATTATAGGTATTTTTATCTAATTTATTCCATAAATATATATGAAATTACCCAATGGATGTTCTATTATCGATAAATAATTAAGACTATTATATAGTATACAACTTTCTTCATCCGAAGTTTGATATAAATTGACTTGAACATACATTTTTACAAGCGTACGTCCAACTTTTATATTTCTATAGAATAAATTGCTGATGAAACGCATCAGCCGTATTCGTATATGCGAAGACGTGTCTGTACTTACCTTTTTCTAAAGGTTATTTTTTTTATTACCATTCCTCCATTTATTTTTCGTATTATTCATTAACTTAGTTATTTGCATAGTACTAGGCACACTCAAACGCTGTACTTCATATCTTTTATTTTAATACATAATACACAGAGAAAGGAACTGATCCCGACCGTGAGAGCCACGATACGTGGTTTTTTAACACGGTTTTATGCTAATAGATGCAATGTTTTTGCAAAAAGGCCATCTTTCGTTAGTGAAATTATTTTCATTTCATGAGTAATGTTTTGTATTGAAGTGTTTAAACATTAAAAAAGTGTTTAAACATTAAGTGTTTAAACATTTATAAAATACAAAGGTAAATCCATTCCATCTTTGTGTTTATTATTATAGTATACGACAAAGTGAATACTTGACTGAATGACTGAACCAACCGACTGAATAGTCAAAACTCAAAAACAACCCTTAGACTTTCTACCCTGTAAATTAAAACATTACACTTCGTATTAGATATTAGGGGTATTGAAAATTTTAAAATAATTACGAGAATGTCTTACAACGGACCCCGAAACAAGGTTTGATGAGGCAGTATATTTTGAATCTGTAAAATTTGTTAACTTAAAAGTTTTGAAAGAACAAAATAGTGAGAGCAAAACTGAAATAAACGCGTCTTGGCTTTGTTTAGCTTGGCTCTTTATAGGCTCTTAATAGTTCCTTAAGTAGTGTGAACAGTATTACCGATTTTTAAAATTCAATAAATCTATTTAGACAAAGTAAAAACACAAAGCATACGTGCGATCCCTATTATCAAATATTGATTTAATATTTGTAAGAGCAACTGAATATTTAAGGTTACGACTTACTAATTATGTACTCGTTAGAACGATAATAGCTGAAGCAATAAAGAAGAAAGAGACGTAGATGGTACTATAATGAGAGTTTACCATAATAGACTCATTACAAGTAATGGTTATATGTTGTACAAAAGTAATACATACTTATGCGATTATATTGAAAGTAACCCTTTACGTAATACCTGTGGATGTTATTTAAACTATGTAAGTGGGCTCCTAGTTTTTCCTTTTCCTATTTATTATTCGTTTACCTAATCGAATTTCTCTAGATGTTGCATGAGGTATAGTTACTCAGTATCTTCAATGGCGTTAAGAACTAGTGGAGATATTAATTTCATTTAATCAATTAACATAATTCATTAACATAATTCATTCATAATTGTAGTCAATATAAAAAATCATAGTTTGAAATTATCTGCTAATGTTAAGAACTTTCAGTTTTGTAATTATTTTTACAATTTTAAACACTTTCTTAGAAACATGTTTTATTTTATTATGTTCGATTTTATTTCTATTTTCACGTTCGGAACAGAACTGATGATTTTCCTTCGTTACGAAACGTCAATGAACTTCATGAGTACGGAATCAAGTAACGTATTCATCGATACCCAGTCAGAGGAGACATCGGCTCGTCGCTAACGACTTGACCACGCGTGCGGAGTCGCGGGCGTTGCACTGTCTCTCGCCGCTTCCTCTTCCTACTGCGGTCGAGGCATTATCCACGCAATACCGGAGTACAACAAAAATACCATCACGTTTCCCGGGGATGTCTCTAGAGCCATAATTTACGTACACTCGTGATTTATGGCCAGGCCAGTTCTGATTCGAATAACAAAAAATGTCTTTTTGTTGTTATAATTGCCCGAGTAACATTAGTGGACCCACCGAAGATAACAAATATTGTTGTTATTTTATTCCGACGAATCCTTTCTATCTAGACTAGTGATTCTCAACCACTGTGCCGCGGCACGTGTGCCGCCAAATTTCAAAAGTGTGCCGCCAAATTATGCAAATATATAATAATGTTAATATTATTGAATATTTTTTTTAAAAAATATTTTTTGGCATTAGCCAACATTAAAACTAAAAAAAGATCAAGATTGTTAAATGTAGAAGACGATATGAGAGTAGCATTGTCATTTTTACGACCAAATATAAATGAAATTATCAAAAAACATCAAGCTCAAATTTCGCATTAAAAATATTTTTATTATTAGCTTGTAATTAATCCCTTAATAAACGTTTAGTTATTATTGTAATATATGTTAGTTTATTTCGTATATTTAAAATTTTTGTCATAAGCTATTTATGCAGTGTGTTGTAGTAAGTAAATAATTTTTATCTTTTTCTTTGTGTGCCGCCAAATTTTGAGATCGTTTAATATGTGCTGCAACGAAAGAAAGGTTGAGAATCACTGATCTAGACAGTAAACAGGTCAAGGAGAATGCATACCTCTTATTATACTTGCCATATTATATTTAAAATACTATATAGACGCCTTTGAAATTTCAACACAGGTACCACTGAACAAAGGAAGTACGTACTATTTATTACTTCCGTGTGGTGACGAGGAATGAATCAATCCTCGCATTTTTGTTATAGTTAGGATAGACTGATTATATTTCATTCAAATATTTAACACGTCCAAAACGAGATGTTATTGCGTAATTTTTTTTAAAGAAAACACCATTAATCACGTTTTTAAGCCTCGATGTTTCCCACCTACAATTTCGGTAATGATCACTGAGTCACGAACTCTATTTATGGCGAAGATAAAAAACTGGACATTTCTCCATTCATGCGCGGTCTCGACTCGTCACACGTCATCATCGTTAAAAATTTCGCTTTTATTATGGCCATTAGGCAGTCGGACCTATGACGGCGTTGCGCGGAGGGGTTGGGGTGGTTGTCATTAAAATGTCAGCGACAGAGGGTTATTACGGCGCGTGCGCGGGAGTGGCGCAATATGGGTTTAATAAATCAGCTAATTAACCCCCCAAGTCTCATATTAACAACATAAATTCCGTGCCGCGCGGTTCACCACTCCAGATGTTATGCGGGTGAATATGCGCATAACATATCCGATGGTACATCCGAGGATAAGTCTGCGAGGGAAGGCCGAAATGAGTTATGTAGCAGGTTAATCTTCAAACTTAAATATATTATACTCTTCGTTAGCCTTCCGAGGGCTAATGCAAATTTAATTACTTCCAATAGGGTTTAAAGATACTAGGTATTAGCATTTAAAGTGCTCAATACCTCATTTTATTTTAATTTCGCGCGCAAATTAAAGTCGGCAATTGCGTCACTTTGCTCTGCTTTCAGCTTTTTAAATTTTATTTGTCAAACTCAAACTCAAATGCAAATAATTTCAACTCCACGTCTTTGTTTTAATCACGGCATACTTTACGTGAGATTTAATTCAATTTACTAATGGACAAATAATATTTAATCATTGGCCGACCCGTATAACGTGACTGAAAAGATCTAATATAGAGTTGGCAGATCATTATAACCTGATGCATGTCCACAAGGTATAATAATTATGTTACACTAATTTTTAATCGCCACTTCGCCCGCATTGTTCTTATGAAAAAAAAGTAGTTACGAGTATATTTTTTATCGGATAATAAACAAAATCCTATCTATTAATCCAGCATATAAGTTTTCCAAATTTGACTCAAGTCAATTTTGCGTTTGTGATCACATCACAAAGTGGGAGACTTATTACTTTAAAATTTTTTCGTACTTCATATATTACCGTGATAACTTTATCATAAAGCATAAAAATAAGCATAAAAAAATTTGAATAATAGCTACTACATATTTTAACAATTTGGATTCAGGTTTCTAGAAAGTCAAATCATTGATCATTTTAATTTAAAAACCGAAATTATGAAATTGAGCACTTTGGAATTTTGACATTGTTTAACATAAACTTATTATGTAATTTTAAGTCTACGCTTATTTAATTTTTAATAGTTTACAGTTTTGATTTATTTTACAGTTTTGTTTTTGTGTAATTAAATTGATTTTTTACGATATTGAAAATCATCCTCCGAGTACTTACGTAAATGGTGTCAATTTATACGTAGTGAGTAGTACTTTATTATCAGTAAAAGAAAAAATACTTAATAAATTATGAACGTAATAAACAATGAATAATTTGAGCCTCTTAGACCAGTCTTATTGCTATACAGAAAGTTAACATTCATCGAGGTAACATTAAGGAAGGGCCATTTCCATAGAAGCAAAAACCCGAAACGTTTTCAAGGGCGTAACTGTGACTCGTCAAATTACTAAACCCACGGGAAGCCTTGTCCGCGGGCGAAATGAATGTTATTGTAGGGATAGTCATTTATCAAAATGTCCAAAGTCTGTCCGCGCTGGCAGCCATCGAGCCGCCGCTTTATCCGCAACTTGTCCAAGGAGTATGTAGTTTAGTGCTTTTGTGTTTCCAATACGTAGCTGTTAGAACCATTGCCCAGTATGAAAAGTTCCTGACCCCGAAAATACTGTCAATAAATTGTATCGCCCGGAATGTAAAGAATATATACTATCCGACATTAACGTTACAATGAGACCGATAGGCATATAAAAGGCCGTCTTATTTCGTGTTTAAAAGATAAATGTTGAATAGGTACTCTGAATAGACGTCGAGCGTGACATAAACAATGGAGAATGTGTTTTGTCCATTCGTGTGTTATACATTAACCTTAAATATTATAAGAACCCTCTTAAGGTCGGTGAACTCTTGTGCATTCAACTGTTCTCTTGGTTCAATAACAGGCTTAATCGCGTTTATTGGAACATCGCTCGTCGCATCCATTTAAAGTTACACTACATTTACGATTCCGTATTGCCAGTTGACGTTATATATCGCGTTTGCATTTGTAAACGAAGCGAGATTAACTACTGATTTATTAAAACAAGTATAAAGTTTTATCCAACAGTCATCTAATGTCACCTCCATTCCGTTAAATTCAATGTAGTGTTTTAAACATTATACTTAGTCATATACATTATGAAAATAGCTTAAGGGCGAAGGCCTCCTCCCTACAGAGGGTATAGTGTATAGGGCATAGTCCACGCTGCGGATTGGTGGACTTCACGTATCTTCGAAACTCGTTTCGTTTTTGTTATTATTTCAAAAATACGCATATATATAGATTTCTTACACCGCCGAGCACTTTAGGAGTCAGTACATAAAATTAATAATTTGTATGCAGCGGGGATCGAACTTAGGTTGCTCGAGTATATTAAATAAAAAGCAAGCGCCTGGGCAAGGAGCTATTACGGCTGAAAAATAGAGGTAAAAAAGGATGAATATTAAACAGTTACGCCATAGCTTCATCCTAGACGTTTATTAAATCAGTTATTGCTTCTGAGCCCAAGGGAAGAGTAAATAGATAATATGAAAATGGAAATTCTATAATAGAAAATGTCTGCGATTCACGAACCGTACGGATATAATTATCCACAATTGAAACGCTGCACTCTTTTATTTGAATAGACTGAGCTTAATAATTGGCAACTCCATAATTATATAAACCTAAGGACCCGCCCCGGCTGCGCACGGGTGCAATGCTAAATGTTTGTTTTCGACATCGCATTAGTATGGTACAGAATTTAAATAAGTATTATTATCGCGTACATCGCAAGTGTAAGCATTTCGCCATAGGTTACGATTTAAAATTTTCAGTCTTAATTAAAAGTGACAGCCTCAGTCTTTCAGTCTTAATTATAAAGTTTAAACTTATAACTCTATCTAACCTGTACTGTGTTTTACGAAAAAAAATCATAATATTTTTTTAATAATGTAATAAAGAGTCATAATTTCTTCGGTACAACAATATTTTTTACATTATAAACAGGAGATGCAGGGGTTTGACTGTTTCTTCTGCTTCAATTTAATTTCATTTACCAATACGATTATAATCTATCAAAGAGATTTATCGAAGGATTTATTATGTACAGTACAAATGCTTGATAATGAATAATAACTTTTAGATGATAATCTGCCTCTGTAGAGTGATATGAAACCGATTCTTCTTGTTTAAAACATGACAAATCACCACAAAACCGCAACGTGCTGTAAGCAGAACATCTAACAATAATACGAGTAACAGATATATTTGGTTTAACACAAACGCAAATGCACTGTTGAAGTACCTGACGAAATTATCGATATCATAAAATTGGACACGTCATATTCAGTTCAATGTACACGAAATACGGCATCTAAAGAGCTAGATGGTGAAGTAAAAAATCGGTACGCTTGTCTGTATCCAATCCGTTCACATTAACAGTATAATCTTACATTAGAGATAATGTTTATAATCAAATCTGTAAAACAAAACAGACTTAAAAGCAAGAGATTATAAGAAAGTTGACATCTCCGTTTTCAGATCTGGGAGGGGCGCTGCCTACGCCTGTTCGGAGGGCGAAGGGAACGCCCCCAAGTCCTGCTGCGGCAGGCCACCCCTCAGGCTCTGCGTGTTGTTCCTCGGCGTCGTCGGAGCCTGCCTCGTCGCCGCCGGGGCCGTCCTAGGCGCCCTCAGGCCGCATCCAAGAGCACCTCTCACATTACTGCTACTAATGATAGGTAACACATATGCTTCTTCATTAACTAGAACTTAAGTGTTCCTATCGTTAAATTCGTTTAGTTAACCGTAAAACGGTTATTTTCTAGTTTACCTTTGCAACTTTTTTGTTATACAATTGCCAGTTCAATTATATCTGTTTTAATACCGCTGCCAAAGAAAGTCTGGCATATTTGTGGTTGTTGCGGGACAATTGTCTTATTTCATGATATCAGTGGTGATGTCGTAAAAACAGGCAAACATAAAAGGTACGTCATAACTGCATTAATTAGTGGAAGCCCCGTAGCCACCCTACGGGGCCGCTCATCTGAATAATCCTTCCAGACTTTGAACATAGCGCCCGCTGCGCCGTTTCATATTAAATTTTCCGTAACATTCAGCGAATCGCGGCATAACGAAAGCGCATTATCGAAAACGGGGCCGAACTTCGTCATCAGCGTTCATCGGGAGACGGCCATAAAATTTAATGCACGCTCCAAAATTCATAAATTCCGAGCGTCGGCCCTAGGCGTTATGAATTGCCTTCATTAGCCGCAACGCAATCACAACCAGCTCGTTGGATATTCGGCGTGCATATGACAACGGCAAGTCTGGACGCGATCCCTTTACATCATTCACAAAGTCGCGACAGCCCTTCGGCGGGCGGTTTTCAATTAAACTTCGAACGAGTTTCGGAAGCGGAATTAATTGGATTTTCATTAGAGTTAGGGACAAATGATGTTACGACGATCTATTGTTTGCATGCCGCGGCAGTTCGTATGGCTCAGCCGCTTTGCAACTTCATGCACGCCTCAACCATATGGCGAACAGCTTTCCAAGCATATTGTTTGTTCGTACAATACATTAAGCTCGTACAATACATTGCTCATTTAGTTATGGAATTATACACGATTAGTTTAGAGACGTATTGTTTGTGAACATGGGCAGGAAACAGCGAGCACATGTTCACGATAGAAAAGTTTTAATAATAGTTGGTAATGTTTGACATCAGACGCTTTACCTACTAAGTTAAGTGGCCGATGACGGCACGACGTGAAGATCAAATTTATGCGATAGAAATAATATTTATTTTCCATTACAAATATATACGTAAGTATACGAATGTTTGAGGCTTAACTTATTTTTTTATCATTCCTCAGCAACTGAAATCACTGTTAATAATAACTAAACAATTATATCAAAAATAATAGAATTTTAGTGTAAGTAGTAAGTTGTAAGAAAACGACTGACGTACAAAGGTCAGGGTTGCGCTTTTCCTGATTTCGTATTCCATTGAAAAATTTTCTTACAAAAAGGTCTATATTTTTTTACATAAATGAACATAAACTTTCGGCGCTGTGGGATTCAAACCTGCGTCTTTTGGTTTGACACCCAGACGCTTTACCAAGTTAAGTGGCCAATGACGTCACAGCGTGAAAATCTTGACATCTATCTACGTTCGTTATATTGCATTTTTTGGCAATGCTTCGCGTGATCTAATGTGCATCCTTTACAGCATACGACACCTTGCAAATAACATTACATGAATATTTGTAATGAGAGATGTCGCCAGGCTCTTAAAATTATTAAGATTAATTTTTATTTTTAATGCTAGTCTCTGCACTCAAGATGAAAGTTTAAATTTTTAATTTTGTGTACATAAATGAACAAAAACTTTCGGCCCCGCTGGATTCGAACCCGCGTCTACTAGGTTCTCACCCAGACGCTTTACCAACTGAACTCGGCCGATGACCTCTTAATATTTTCTGCGTCTTGATATTTCTACAGGCATAGGTGTGGTGCTGGTAACCGCAGCTGGGCTGGCATGGAGGCTCGGTGCTCGGGATACGCCATGCGCACTATTGGGGCTCCGACGCGCTTCCTGCAGGCGGCTGGTGCCACGCTTACCACCCAGCTATGCGCGGCCACACCACCCGTACGCGGCCATGCTGTACCCAGAGTTCCATTACAGACCACCGCCACCCACCTATCAAGCCTCAATGCAGGAGTACAGACTCAGGTAGACTCATATCACTACATAGTATAAAACAAAGTAGTCCCGCTGTCTGTCTGTCCCTATGTATGCTTAGATCTTTAAAACTACGCAATGGATCTTGATACGGTTTTTTTACTAGATAGAGTGATTCAAGAGGAAGCTTTATATGTATAATACATTGCACCCGTGGAAAGCTGGGGCGAGTCGCTAGTTTACCATAACCACTGAAGCGTGTGAAATTTTTAACAAATTTACTAATGAGAATTGTCGCTTTCTAATAGAAGGTATCAATTAAGCGTGCGGTCGCCCTGATGATGAGTGAATAACCTTCAACACTAATGGTGTTGCAGATTCTGACAGAGAAATTTAGGACCAGGTAGCCAGGGCCTACGTCAACAACGCAAACAGGATGCTGAAAAGGACGACCAATATCATGAATTGATTTTTCGTAATGAAAAAAATTTCGAAATTGATTCGAATGAAAATAAATGATATTTGTGTTTCATGGTATATCATAAGGTTTTTTAAATTCTTGGATGACTTTTATATAGCTATTAAAACTATACCAGAAAAGGCACTGTACATAGCTTTTTATCTACCCCGCGTAGATCTGATACAACTCGTGTAAACAAAAGACATTTGCAATTATTTCTTTCAAGACTTGCATTCAATAATTGATAATTTCCTTGATGGTCAATTTGCGTGCAACTTATTGCATTCAATTATTGCTCTTGTATGTACAAGAAAATGTTCCAGTTACTTTCTACTTTAGTGGCGCTTAGATAAACTCGACTTATCAACCGAGACGACTACAGGCGAGCTTTTTTGCGCAAAATATTATGAAAGAGTTGTGCTTACCAATGTATTTCACGTAAATTGCAGCTATTGCAAAACTTACCCTAAATTTTACTCGATTACTTAGAAATCGTATAAAGAAACCATCATCCTCCTGCCTTTATCCCAAATAGGTTGGGTCAGCACAACATGTGAATTATGTTGTAAGCGGTTTTTTCATTTAGTTTTTTGCCTGACGTCATCACTACATAGTATAAAACAAAGTCTTCCCGCTGTCTGTCTGTTCCTATGTATGCTTAGATCTTTAAAACTACGCAACGGATCTTGATGCGGTTTTTTACTAGATAGAGTGATTCAAGAGGAAGGTTTATATGTACAATATATAGCACCCGTGCGAAGCCGGGCGGGTCGCTAGTAAAGTAATAAAAATGTTAAATAAGTAAATAATTTAATAGCTGTCGCCATTTATTGAGTGCTGAAGGTTGCGACTTAGTAATATCAAAGATGTACTAACTTTACGTATTTATTTCCAGGTTGCTTCTCCTAGACAGAAGCGCGCCCGCGGTGTCACCACCACCCACATACCGATCAAACTCAGCCAGTCTAGTCAGGTAATACCATAGAAAGGCTAAGTGATGGATGACCACATAACGCTTGTCATACATTCATGGACCGACCAATAGACGTAGTGGGAGTGAACCTACCTAGTATAATATGTATTTATTTACTAAAGAAAAGTATATTTAAGTATGTTTATCAGTTATCTAGTACCCATGGTACAATCGTTGCTTAGTTAGGGGACAAGAGAACGTATAAACTAATTTTTATGCTTTCTTCTAAGTAGTTTTACGTCATTCGGATTCGGACCGGTCTCGATCGATCTGCGCATGATGCACGAGAAAAGGCTTGGCATGGTTCGGACTAAACTTAGATATAAAGCTAGAATACAGACGAAATTTCGTGTATTTTCATACATCGCTCAACCTGAATTAGCTGTATCACGCGTTACACTTTACGACTACTATTAAACAGTGATCATTCACAACGGGAGGATTGAGCACAGACTATGATGAATTAGGCCATGAGTTTGAGTGTTTCGAAGAAAATATTGCCATAACTCCTCAATGCAACATAATATAAGTAGTGCAAAATGCTTTGTCACCTAATAAGGTACTGCTGGTGTCCTTTTTAAATAAATAAATAAACAACTATCTACACAAGGTAAGTAACAAGTTGCACAGCTTGGGTGATACCAAATTGAGACGAAAATGCGTCTATACAGTTATATGGATTTTTTACTACGGCTCCAGAAAATCTTTATGAATTTTTTTGACTTTAGGATAAAGTATCCTAGAATTAAACTTAATCTATGCGCTGTTGTAGTGCAAAAAGTGAATATTTGTATTTTGTTTTAAATTATTTATGGATAGAAACGAGACAGCTTGTAATATAACTATAGTTATTCATAACCCTCCCCGAAAATGGTACAACAGCGAAACCGTAACACTGTGTATTCAGTACGTTCACACTCTAGAGCAGTTGTTACTGTTCCTAGCAAACGATTTATACAGGTAGCTGCCTGAGAATAACTTCCCTAACAAAGCCGGCATGTACACATGCCTGACCATAATGGTCCATATGCCTTTGTACACATTGTGGTAAAATAGTATGCAATTTTTACGGATTCTGCATAAAAGCGAAAGCATCCAAAATTACATAAAGGACTCTTTGTAATATCATTGCAATGATTTGTTTCACATTGGACAGCTTGAAATAATCATAACGTTGAAATAATCAAAACATTGTAATAATCATTTTTTTTTTGTGAAAAGTTGCCAAGCGAGCAGCCGTTTCACCTGATGTTAAGTGAATACCACCGCCCATGGACATCTGATTTACCCGAAGGTTGGAGATGCGTTACCGACATTTTGAAAATTGGGCTCCGGCTACCTCACCACCATACGAAACCAAAAGTAACTACTAACCCGGACGAGCCCGCCCATTCGTTCAACAGCCGAGGCTGCTGCGTGGCCCTTAAGTGATATATAACATTAATCGGCCTTGTTGGACAGAGGAACGACGGGCGCGGCGTGGTGCGGCTCCGAGTACAGCGGGCCGCCGTCGTACAGAGCGCCGCGGGCGGACCCCCCCGTGGCCACAGCTGACGTCACATCCCTCAGCCCCATCGACCTGAAGTACGCAGGGGACGCGATAGAACCCCTGCCCGCGCCCACGGAACAGAAGGACCCGGACGAGCACCTCGTCACGATAGTGCACACGGACGCACAGCCCGTCATAGTGACGGTGTCCGGTTCGCCGGCGCTCAACGAGACGCGCGTCACGCACACATCCGAAATCGACATCCTGGCGCATTTATAACGAACCATCGCACGCGTGATTCCGCACCGCTTAGCTTCCGAGGTTTTCGTTGCGATATTTTTTTCGTAAAGATTCGAAAACGAAAGTGTACGAACTATATCGTGTGCCGTCATTAAAAACATCATTTGTGATCAATTCGATGCCCTGCACGGGGACAGTTTCCAAGAGTGCGCACCCTCGCGACGTCCGGCGTGGACTTGGTGATGTTAATTTGCAATTTAAAAAAATCACTCTCTAGCCTGCCGGTGACTGGTGATTGTGACAAATAACGACGACTCCGGTTGATGATAGCTTTGTCGTTGTCTCATCAAAGATAAAAGTAATTACAATCTTTTCTTTCAATATTCGTAAAATAATTATTGAGTCTCGGAATGTTTCAATTAAATCTTATTTTATTGAAACTCTATTTAATTGATATGTCATTATTCATTATTCATCTATACTCATATACTGACCAATAAAGTAAAAAATATAGTCAATGTCATATGTAATGTTATTCAAATTTTAACGATTGGTGAAGTTAATTCGTTTTCGCACGCTTTTCAAATTTTTTATTACAATTTCGATGACAGACACGACTTTAAAATAACCTACTTTACTCATATTACAAGTTTTGAAAACCATTTTTATGCTTTAAATTCCCTTAACTTTTAATTCTGGCATATGATGTTTATTAAAATTAACTAATACTTATTAAACACCACTTAAAAAATTAAGCATATGCTCATTTTAAATAAACAATGAATAACATTTTATGAAATAACAATTAATTTTATTTACAAAGTTGTTGTGGAAAGTGCTATTGAAACATTTTGAGCTCACTTTTAGTAACTGTTTTACGTTTAGGGTTTCGTATTGTAATGATAATTACAAGAATTATTATTATGACATTTCGTTCCAAAACCGAATCATTTATGTACCTTACTAATATGTAAATATTTTAAAAGCACTGAATGACGCATGACTGATTCGCTTGTGTTGTTTTAGTTTTAAACGACGTACCGTGTAAATACAAATCTGTTTAGCGAATTTACGAGACGTGGAATTACAACCATGAAAAAAATCACTGATCTATGAACTCAAGAAACCAAAATTTATACCGTAATGTACAAAGCATATACATATATGATCTTGCTTTCTACTCAATAGGTGCCAATGGTAGTAGTTTTATTGACCTTGTAAATATATTGCTGATAATGCCATTTATGTTGCACTATTAAAACTAACTTCGTATACATCTTTAAAGCTTGTTTAAAGAATTCCACTAAAAAAGAGGAAAATAAAAATTAATTCAACTTTTATTGTTCAGTATTTTACTTTGTCGTTCTGTAATCTGTTTTGTGTAAGATATGTTACTGTATTACAATATTTTAAGGTAATTGCCGTAAACAGATGTGTTTGTTTTTATTTATGTTTCGTTATTTCAGTATAGGAGAATATTTATGTATTTAGCGTCTAAGTTATTGCAACAGGTCTTTGTAAATACTGACCTCTCGAATTCAGTAAGAGTTTCACAGCCGATAATGTTATTGACTAATGCTATTTATAGGCACATTTTAACAGCGTTATTTGTAGTTCAAAAATTGAAGTACCTATTAAAAATAAAAAATGAAACTTAACTTACGCGAGATCTCTTCAAATGTGGTGTCCTTACAGAATGTTCTTTCGTATTCTTACATTAATATAAAAATATACAGCTTATTAATGGAAAAAAATGTAGAAGAGTATTTTTAACTTGCTACGAGACTAATACGTTAGGTTCTTGTAAATTAATCAAAGAATTAATTAATATTTGCACTGCATTAGCGACAAGGCCGCGATAGATATTTTTACAAATTAAAAAAAAAAACGAGTTAACAGTGACGACGATATTTAAGTTTAATGTAATATACCTACTATTAATATTAAGGAAATGTAACAATATTGTGTAATTATTATAATGTACATAACTCTTATTTGTATTATACGAATAAAAATAAATCTTTAGTGAAAATAACTTGGTCGTTATTTCTCATAGTATAATTTTTAAGATTCCGGATTACGCTTAGAGGCTGTCAAGTCTAAATAGAACTAATTATTTGAGAAATGAAAATAGATATTCAAGTTGCTCTTGATAATTTATAAAATAAAATGAGTTTTATAAAGTTCTACTTCCTTCTCCTATTCTTATCTCCACTAGGTGCAGTCGGCACAACATGTATCTATGTGTATCATATTGCTAATTGCTAGGTTTTTTACGACCGGCCCCCTCTCTGACAACAACTCTCCTTGGAAACCATCACCCGGATCTGGAACAATTATCTGTGGTCACACAAACACTTGTCTCGTGTGCGATTCGAACCCACGACCCCCGGCACCGAAGCCAACGGCTTAGCCACTACGCCACCAAGGCATCTATACAAACACTCGTCTACAAACATAACAATCAAAGTAAACTAAAACAAACTTAACTGAAGATTGACGATGCAGATCAATTAACTTCCATCACGTTCAAGCCAAAACAATCCTTGATAAGAATTGTAATAGAAACGTCACTGACTGATCTGTTACATGCAGACGAAGGATAGTAAGCGGGGGATTACGAAGCGGGTTTTATTTCAGCGCTTTAAGCGCCCACTTCGGAAAGTGGCTAGCGAGCAGCGAACAAATCGCTTTCGAATGCAATCGACAAGAGATGCCGACGCCGAGATGATTTATTGGCCCCCCGACTCGACGGGCCGGCGCTAATGGCGGCTGACTAAGCATTCGTCGGCGCGGCGTTCTGTTTATTTTATTTTTAACATCGAGCCATCTCTCATATATAACATTCGGTAAAAATTAACCTGATTAAGTTTCTGTATAAACATACAAAACTTTTATAAGATCTGTATAACAACAAACTTATATATTACTACATATACTAAGAATAATAAAATAATGGAGAACCGACATGCCATTTTTTGTTATGCCAAAAAAGGCTCACATTCCATTATTTTATTAACTATTAATTACTTATCTAACTAACATCAGAAATGTTCAGTCACTAGTTTTTTTTTAATTTACCATTATATTTTTTATGCGAAAAGTTGTCGGTTAAAACGAACAGACGGTTCACCTGATGTTAAGTGAATACCGCCGCCCATGGACGTCTGCCACACCCGAGGGTTACAGCTGCGTTGACAACCTTTTGAAAATAGGGTAGTTCCGCGTAGTTATGAGTTGCAAAAATTAAAAAAAAATATTAGTAATTAACAAATTTCATTAAATGGTTAAATTGTACTGAAAGCTACACAATTAAATAAAATTGAAATCTGTTTGTATTCTCATATGCTTATTTGAAAGTTGCCTATCAAAAGGCCTTATTAAAATTGTTGTATCCCATACAGCTCCGAAGAAAGTAAAGAAGTAACTTGGTGTACTTTTTATAGCGCCTCGATAATTAAGTAAGATCGGCAGAAACCTATACATATATTATTTCTCAGTTGTCGCTAAGGAAATTAACTGTAGAGACGATAGTATAAAACGTCGACCTGTATTGCGACTGGAGCCTACCGACACAATTTAGTTATTTTAAATGGTTGCTATCAAGACTCCGCTGTCTGTCAGTCCGTTTGTCACCAGGCTGTATCTCATGAACCGTGATAGTTAGACAGTTGAAAGTTGTTTTACCCTTTAGGTACGGGACCCTAAAAAAGAGCTATCATTCTAATAATCAGGTCGGTATATAAAATTACACCAAAACTTCATAGAATACTCCTAACTTCTAGATAAGTTCTTCTTGTAAAAGTATTACACGTACGTTTCGTTTTTATAAGAATTATTATTTAATTTTGACGTGTCAAGGAAATTTTCCATCTTTTTCTTTTTATTTCGTGACCGTTAGCCACTCTAACATTTTTATTGAAAAAAATTTAAACATATAATATTGAAGAGTGTACTTTTACATAGGCGTTGCCTTATACTATTTAAAAGGAAGCTTTATTTATCTATATAAAATACAAAACATTAGATGAAAATGACGAAAATTCAATAACTGATATGGCATGCAATGATACGATAATAATTGCCTTCCCGTAGCCCGCGGCCTAACATCGAATGAAAACTCTATTATGTACCAAACATTAATGAAAGTCAAAATATGCATGTTTGGCTATGACCAAAAGCATATATTTGTGAAAACGTTTGCCTCGTATATATGAAAACTGACATTTATACACTGACTAGAATAATAATAATATGTTTAAAGAATTTTAACAATAATAGAAAACTAATACAGGGTTCAAATACATTACTCACTACATTTTCTATGCGATTTAAGGAGTTCCCTGACGTATCTCTGGAGTTCAAGGCCGAATACCGTTGAAATCGTTAACCAAAAAGGACTACATAGGGCCAAATATTTGTTGACAGTGGTAGGGCCACACAACAGTTTTCGCTGTTGCACGAATGGGCAGGTCCAACTGGAGAAGTACCACGACCTTATAGAAGACCGGCGTGAAGTAGAAGTTAAACTTTTGCGTTTCATCCGGTGATGAAGTATCCGGGGCCCACTTTATTAAAAGCTGGCAAGCTGCAGCTCTACGGATGTTGCAGGTGACCTAGACCTTCAGGTGAACCGCCTGCTCTCTCGTCACCTTATGACATAAAAATAAGTGTTTACAAATGACGGAGTTCTGAGTTAAAATTTATAAATAAAATACAACCGAATTGAGAGCCTCCTCTCCTTTTTTGCTTTCGGTTGAAAACCCTGTTTTAAGGGCGCCAAATTCGCTTTTTTCACTACTACCCTAATTGATAGGGTAATGAAATAGTTTCCGCAAAATAGCGAGGTTTTTCATTAGGTATTTAATTTGAATAGTTTTTGATTGTTGTTTTGTTTTTAAATGCTCTATTCCGAATATTTGAAACATAAATACCTGGGCCGCTATTTGCCAAATAACCCTAGACTGACAAAATAGCTAGAAATAACTAAGAATAACAATATCCGTAGAGATAACATCCATAATAACCATAGCAAA